GGTCTTTCCATCATGATATGCTGAGGGCTCAGACTTTTGGTGGGGACTTGGGGTGAAAACCTGGCTTCACTCTCCTCACATGCATCTGTGGACAAGCCGTGTGCATGTAACCTTTGTGAGCCTCAGTGTATGTATACAAGGCTTTGTAAATTGAAAGGTGCTGTGCAAATCCTGGGTGATCATTTCATGAACCACATTTATAATATAAAGTGTTTTTAGGTATCAGTCAGAAGGATCCAAGGAAAATAATAACCTAAATGAAAGCTCATTGTTTGTACAAGCAATTTAGAGATGTTTATTCTGCTGTAATCAATATGGCTGGTGATTCATGCTCATGGGGCTGGGATTTAGAAAAAACTTTTCATGCTAGTTATCTGACTAGTGGGGAGACTCACCCTGCCCTCCCCCGTCTGCCCTCTGCTTTGTGCTGTCATCCCTGTAAGGGTTTGTCTCTGTAGTCCTTGCACTTAGCACCAAACCACAGCTGAGGCAAAACTAGCGAACCTAGCAACAAACCAATGCCATGGAAACAAAGTAAACCATATTTGGGTGTGGCCCCAGACTGTTTAAATGTCCTGGCATTTGCTGGTTAGCTATGATTCTGATGTTCCTAGACCAAAATTAGACCATTCTATTTACCTTTTGTTCTTTTCTCAGGAGTTCCTTGTACTTCTGAGAACTGGTTTGTAGATTTCGGACATTTAATATGCACTGAAAGGGTACAGAGGAAATAAATCATATCACAAACATGGTAACTTTTAAGAATGCCCGAGTCAGACCTTTCACAAAATCTAAAGTACCTTCTCAGTGCAGAGCTTCTGGTCTTAAATAGTGTCCTTGCAGGTCAATTCTGTGTGTTTGCAGGTCACTCACTGGCTGGCAGATTGGAAAGGGCCAGAAGTTCAGAGTCAACTTGTTAGAAGTGGATGTTCATTGGTCGTTTTTACTAAAAGGAGAAAACGGAACTCTGCGTCATTGACCTCACAGGTCTTTATGTAAAGACCCCAGGCCCTACACTGGCATGGTCCAGATGGACAATAACCCTCCCAGGGGCACAGCAGTGGCCACCCTCTTCCTGAGGACACCCCCCCCCAATGCCACTCAGACCTTTCAAAGGGGCCCTCGGGTTTCTTCCACTAACCTTCCTGAGGATGGGAACCTGGGGTTTTTAGTCCGATTTTTTTCATACTCAGGTGGTTTTAGTTTTGTTTTCTTCAAGGTAAAGGATTTTATATTACTCTGCCAAGCTGCCTTGAGCCTTTAGAGCTATGAGTGTTGTAATGAAAATTTTGAGTACCTCCACCTTCCCATTCTACAAAATGTCACTCTTCATAGCCACACCCCTTACCTTGACTTCTGAGCCGGCTTTCCCAGCGTCAAGTTTGTAGGTTCCAGTCACCCATTCTCCACTCTCACAATTGACTTTGCTGTTAGTTTAAGAAGGCTGGGAGAGGGGTCTGCATTAGAAGGGGCAGCATTATTTGTACCAAAATTAACAGAGGACAACTGTGACTCTACACTTTATTCCTGGGGCCCTGAGGTCTAAATAATAACACTAAGAAGGACGTATTAAGTGAAAGAAAGTGAGTGGAGATGCCGGGTACCATTCAAGCTTTATTAAAGGAAGAAAATCTGCTGGGCTGTGGTCAAAGTAGTAGGCAGCCCAGGGCTGCCCTGAAAAGGGGACAGCCCCAGGTGTGGGGGTGGTAGAGCTTATATAGTGCACCAAGGGCTGGCTGATACCATCAAGGAGGGTCATTATGCTAATGTAGATCCGGGTGGAGAACTGTGTCCTTGCAGGAAGCAAAAGGGGTTTCTGTTTAAGTCAGGAGGCTTCTTGTAAGGGGAAGGGGGGAGGGATGGGGAGGGGGTGGGTGGTGCCATTTTGTACTTGGGCTTGTCTAAAGTGGCCCTGGTTATGTTGCAGATCTATTATTAAGCATTCAACCTACAGTATAGACTTTGATATTTGCCCTAGAGCTGGGAATGGTTCTGAGATAGGCCACCTCACAGGTCTGGCTGGGCTGAGACATGAGTCAGAATGCAGCATCCTGCCATCTAGAAGGGTGTTAGGATGGTGGTTTCCTTTAATATACTCTCACTTACAGGAATCAGCAATCTCTTGTGCATTTATTATTTTATTGCTAGTAGTGTTAGTTTGTTTCTGAGACTAAGAATCATAAGCTAGTTGCTTCTTACTCCATGAAAGTGTCCTGGCATGGTCCACCTCCCTGTCACCTATATTTTGTACAGCAACCCCCTCCCACAGTTTCTGTGAGCAGCGGTTCTCTAACCTGGGCTGCCCACAGTGTCTCTGCCTGGCTCATCCCAGTTCTCAGCCATTTTAACCTGTGGTCCAGCTTCCTACTTGCTGTGGAAGAGGAGGAGGCCTGGGTACCTTGAGTAGGGGCAACTACCATGGGGACTCTGTCAGGCAGCAGAGAGCAAAAGAGGGGACTCAGGAGGCAGCAAGGCGGGTGTTGGTTTGATTTTTACTGGACTTCCTGCATGTCAGGCACTGGGCTAGCAGGGCAGCTCACCCCGACTGTGGTCAGCAGGCTCCATGTGGTAGGGCCTTTGGTCCTCATGTTTAGAGTGGGCACTGTCATTATCACTGGCATGTTTTAGATGAGACGAGACACAGAGGCTAAGTCTCATGCTCAAGATCTTATGCGAGTGAGTGGTGGAACCAGGAACTGAACAAAGTGGTTTAATTCCAGACCCCTTTTTCTTAACCCCTTCCCTATATGGTTCCCCCAGAGGCTAACTAGCAATTCACTGGCCAGGGGGTTGAGAAAATGTTCCCTGTGCCAGTTACAGGTGTCTTCAGGCATTGCCTTGGGAACAGGCAGAGCAAAGGAAGCCTGTTCCAGCACACTGCTCAGGAAGATGTGGTCACAGGGTTTGGGGCGGTGAGTAGCTGTAGAATCTAGATCAGAATATTCAAACTGATGTCTCAAAAGAAGGCTATTTTATTAACTGGCTATCAATCTCACCTGTGAAGTTGTTGCTACTAGTAAAATTATAATTGCTTTCCATGATAAATTCCATAAATCCTCTAGTTGCTTATGTAGAACAGTTTTAAAATATTTTCTCCAATTTATTGAACTTTATAGAATCAGGAATTGTTATACCAACATTTTTTAAACGTGTTGTAGTGAGAACACAAGCTGATCAAGGGTAGGCATTTCATTCTCTTTGAAAGTTGTTTTGCGAGCCTTAGATCCTACCCATCAAAGCCTGGCGCTGGTGGGCTTCTCCACAGCAGCCCTTTACCCAGCCTTTTCCTTCGCCCCTGTCCCTCCCAAGTCAGGTCCTCCTGCCCCTCAGAACCCACCTGCTCCGCTGCCTGCCCACCCACAAATCCTACTCTGGAGCCCGTCCCCTGGAGCCCGGTGCGACAGCGGGAAGGTGAGCGTACCCGGGTGGTGCGCTAACAAGTGACCTAGAGCTCGGTTAGAGTAGCAGAGAGAGGAATTGGGGGGCTGCAAATCTAAATGTGAATGTGTGGTCTCTCAAGACGCTTTCCGGAGCCGCCTTTGCAGAGAACCAGGCCAGGCGATTCTGCCGGAGATTCCCGTTTTGAAGGGAGGAGGTGGCTTTCTGACAAGGGTCTGCGAAAACGTGTCCCCACGGCATGGTCCGGAGGGGGGCCTCGATGCAGTGTCCGACGAGGGTGCGCAGCAGGCAGCGGCCTTGGCCAGGACAGGTTGACCTGGTTAAAATCCGCGTCGTTCCCTTCCCGTCGCTTCTGCCCCCAGCCTGGCGAGGTCAGGAGCCGTTCTGCGCTTTGCCCGCAGGACTTTGGTTTTAAATGACGAGGGGCGCGCGCTCCGGGCCGCAGGAGGCGTGTGCGGGGCGTCGGGTCTGCGCGCAGCTCCGCGTGCCGGAGGCCGGCGCCGTCTCGGGGTGATGCGTCAGCAGGGCTCCCAGGCAGGTGCTGCCAGGGTCGGGGGACGCTGGCCTGAGCCGGGAGGACACGGCGGGGACAGGGACGCAGCCGTCGCCCCGCCCTC